CAAGGATGGCAGGGAAGCACAGTGCATCTTGTTGCTCAGTTCCTGAGGACACCGTGTTCTGAACCATGCACTTAGAGGACTCAAATTTTTGATAAAATGTGTTTTCTGACCAAAACAGAATTCAATGTGAACTCAAAAACAGAAAGACCTTTGAAAAAATCCCTCAAAAAACATATCTCTAAATAAGCCATGGGTGGGATCCCTGGGTGGCACAGCGGTTTAGCGCCTGCCTTTGGCCCAGGGCGCGATCCCGGAGACCCAGGATCGAGTCCCACATCGGGCTCCCGGTGCATGGAGCCTGCTTTTCCCTCTGCCTGTGTCTCTGCCTCTCTCTCTCACTGTGTGCCTATCATAAATAAATAAAAAGTATAAATAAATAAATAAATAAATAAATAAATAAATAAATAAATAAATAAACAAACAAGCAAGCCATGGGAGTAACCAAAATTAAAAGGGAAATTAGAAAGCATCTTGAACCGAGGGGAAACGAGGACACAGTGTCTCAGCAACGCGGGGATGCCACCTTAGCCAGACACCCGCCTGGTCTGCGGCACCAACTCTTCACATTTGGAGGGGAAAGATCCTGATCAGCAGTCTCAGCTTCCATCTTCCCAAACGACAAAAACAAGAGTAAAAGAAAAACAAGGAACGCACAAGAATCACAATAATAAAAAAATCAGAGAAAAACAATAAAACAGAGAAATCAATGAAACCAAAAGCAAACTCCTTACAAAAATTGATAACAAACATGCAGCCAGAATGATGGGGGAGAGCGAGGGAAGCACAAATTATCACAGTCAGAAAAGGAGGAGGTGATGTCACGGCTGCTTCTGCAAATATTAGAAAGCTAACAGGGAAATACCATAAACACCTTTATTCTAACAATCTCGGTGACTTAGCTCACATGGACAGATTCCTCGAAAGACTAAGAAACACAAAGCTCACTCCGATATATGGACATATGCATATCGTATATGGATATATCACATACATATAAAAAAACCGATTCTAGGGAACCCAGGGTGGCTCAGCTGTTTAGCACCTGCCATCGGCCCAGGGGACCCGGGATCCAGTCCCACGTCGGGCTCCCTGCATGGAGCCTGCTTCTCCCTCTGCCTGTGTCTCTGCCTCTGTGTGTGTGTATCTCTCATGAATGAATAAATAAAATCTTTTTAAAAAATCCCTGATTTTATAGATATATATATACAATAGCCCTATTTTTAAAAATTGAACTTGTACATAAAAACTTCCAGGGGCGCCTGGGCAGCTCAGTCAGTTAAGCGTCTGCCTTCCGCTCAGGTCGTCATCTCAGGGTGCTGGGAGGGAGCCCCCAGTTGGGCTCCCCGCTCAGTGGGGAGCCTGCTTCTCCCCTTCCGGCCTACTTGTGCTCTCTCGTGCTCTGTCTCTCTCTCTCAAATACATAAGTTTTCTTAAGAATTGTTTAAAAGTTTCAGAAAGAAAATCTCCAGAAAGTGGAACAGGAGGAAACATGCCCAAACTCTTCCAGGAGACCAGCCTGACCAAGATTCCACATGAAGACGACACAAGGAAAGAAAGCCATAGAACAGCATCCTTCAGAAACATAACAGGAAGACATCTAAAAAAAATTTTAGCCCACATGCACATACTCACACATGGACACCTGCACACATATACGTGAACAAGCGTGTCCATATGCACATGTCTGTGTGCACAGCCACATACGCACACGCTCTCATGCATGTATGCAATGCACTCGCGGATATCCACACACACGTGCATGCCCCCCACACACACAGCTACATGGACACGTCCCACCACGTCCCACTGCAGCCCACACAAGCACGTGTCCTAGTGAAAGAGCCAGGTAGTGAATAAAAAGGGACACATCTTATACACCAGCAAACCTGACAACCTAGAAGAGATGAATAAATCCCTACAAACACTCAACCTACCAAGACCGAATCATAAAGAAACAGAAAATCTGCAGACATTTCTAGTACGGAGACTGAAGCAGTGATCAGAAGCCCCCAACACAGAAAAGCCCAGGACCGGATGGCTTCACTAGTGACCGCTACCAAACGTTTGAAGAAGATCACCAACACTTCTTAAGCTCTAAGAAAGCTCCCAAATTCACTCTATGGGGCCAGCATTACCCTGAACCCAAAACCACTGGACCTGACCAGAAAAGACGAGGATCTTTTACTAATACCAATACCCCCAATGATCACAGATGCAGAAATCCCCCCCAAACAAACACGAGCAAGCCACTTCCAACAGTACATTAAAGGGATTGGACACCACAACCAAGTGGGATTTGTTCCCAGGATGCTAGGATGGTTCGATACCCACAAATCGATCGATGTGATGCATCGCATTAACCGAAGAAAGGGTAGAAATACATGATGGTCTCAGCAGATGCAGAACAAGCATTTGACAGGATGCAACGTCCTTTCAGGATAAAAACTCCCAACACGGCAGGTGCACGGCACGTTTCTCGACACAGTGAGGGCCAGGGATGCCAAGCCCACGGCACACATCGGCCCCGACAGTGAGAACAGGAGAGCTTCCCCTGCAGGGTCAGGAGTGGACAGGGAGGCCACTCCCATCCAACAGCATAAGTCCCAGCCTCAGCAACCGGGCACGGAAAGAAAATCACACACTCTCTCTCTCTGCAAATGGCTTAATATCTACAGAAAACCCTAAAGATGCCACCAAGAACTTGTCAGAACTAATAACCGAATTCAGCAAATTTTCAGGATGTGAAATTAACACGCAGAAATCTGTGGTGTTTCTGCACACAAACAATGAATGCTCGGAAAACCGGAGAAAATAATTGTATTTACAACTGCATCAAAGGGAATAAAATACCCAGGAATAAATTCAACGAACAAAAACAGGAAGGCAAGTCTGATGACTTGAGAGGTGTTTGGAACATGTCCTGTCCCCAGAGCAGGCCCAGCAGATGTCCACCGCGTGAGCCCCGAGTGGGGTGCCGATGCAAAGGGATGGTGACATCGCAGCTGGGGTGCAAGCCCGGGAGGCCCCGCCTGGGCCAGGGTGAGCCCGATGTATCCTGAGCTGATGAAGAAAGAAGGGGACAGGACAGCGAGCCCCCGCGTCACACATTTCATGCCGAGAACAAGACCCAGACCATGCATCCCGGGGACAGCCTGCGGTCAGGGGAGGCCCACATCTGTAGCCCCCACCCCGAGCAGAAGTGGGCCAGCCAGCCCACCCCTCCCTCACTCTGGGGATGCCACGGTCCACACGAGAGGATACTGAGAAGTGGGCTGCACGCAGAGTCACGCGCCACGTTAAGTAAACTGGCTGAAGCCAGGGAGAAGACATCTGCCAACCGTGTGCCCGCGGAAGGACAAGCTAAGACTCTACAGACTCCTGTCATCCTGGGGGCGGGGGCTGTTGTAAGCGACCCAAGCAGGGGCGGGGGTTGGCGGTAGGCTGGTGGCAGTGCTGACCACTGAGTCACTGAGGGAACACGTCCCCTCCGGTACCAGGCAAGACAGATTCGGACAGTGGGGGGAGGGCACACCCCTCACATCAGCAGCCTGTCCTCAGAGAGCCCCGGTGGCCAGTGAATCCTCATCCAGAAGCTTCCTCGTGGAGGGGCAGGGGAAAGGCGCAGGCCCCGGAAAGCTCAGAGCAGCACCCAGAAAGCCTCGGGCCACCAGGCACCCCAGCCTCGGACAAAACACACGTTCTGACCCTAATATGGGAGGCCGTGTCCGTGAGCCCCCCACGCCACACGGGCCTCGTCACCCTGACTCCTCCATCATGCTTCCCCAAAACCACAGGGGTCAGGTAGGGAGGAGGCCCCAGAGGCCCCGGAGGCCGAGCCTCAGCTGCTCCCCAGGGCACGAGGCCAGCACCCCCGTGCCCAGGCTGCCAGGGCACCTCACGGCCCGGCAGCGCCCGCAACGGACAGAGAGCCGACCCCCTCCTTTCATCCTCGGGAAAGACCCAGCAGCCTTCCCCACATGGGGCCCCGCAGAGCCCTGGCCTGGGACAGCAGCGGGTGCCCCAGGAGAAAGGCCTCCAGCGCCAGCCCAGTCCGAGCAAGCGGCGAACTCCCAACTGGGCGTCTCAAGATCTCGACCAGCCTCGAGGACACTCCAGGTGGAGGGCGGGGGGCAGCGTCCAAGGGCCGCATGCCACCGCTGCCGAGGCCCAGTGCTCTCCTCCTGACTTGGTCCCGAAACTACAGCCAGGCACAGCCCGTGTGACAGCCACCCACTCCACCTGCGGGTCAAGGGTGAATGCTGGCGCCCGGCGCTCTGCAGCCCGCGGGGTACCCTCCCCCAGCCCTGCACGCACGTGGGACATCCTCAGGACTCCACTGTACGAGGCACGCTGGCCCGGGGACCGCTCCTCCCCCTCCCTCATCAAGGGGACATCCGTCCACTCTTTCTACCAAGTTCTTTCCCTGGGTGAAGAGTTCTCAGTCTGCGAACTCCCTCCCCCCAACCACCTGCCCAGGACCCCTCTGTGTCCAGAGGCAGGCTGGCCGGGCCGGTGGATGGGGCTGTACGTCCCCGCGTCCCCCCACGTCCTTGTGGGGCAGGGGAGGCCGGCATCCAGGTCCAAGGACACCAGGCACTTCGTTGCCTCCACACCAAGACACCAGGCAGGGAGCCAGGCCTGGGCTTGACCTCTGCGGGCCTTCACGTGACCTGCCCCAGGAAGCTCTTAAAACGCCAGCACTCTCCTGCCACAGCAAGGGGCTCGGCATCGTCAAACGCCACCAACCGGCTGAGGTGACCTTCAGGGCAGGGCCTCCCCACCCAGCCACCACCCTCGGTCTGGGGCCAGCTCGGGGCGCCCTGGCTGCGCTCGGGCAAGCGCCCTCTTTTGCACAAAGGAGTCGCGGGCGGTGATGCAGAAGCTGTGGGTGAGGACAGCCGGGCGGGACCGACGCACTCGGCATCCACGAGGTCGCACCTGCAACCCCGGAGCCCCCGAGGCTGCTCCAATGACACGCGAACATCGGGGGCTGCGCTTACCGTAGCCAGTTCATCAAACTTGCCGAAGAGCTCGTTGAGGAGCTTGACCAACTCCTGCGCGGTGCACTGTGACGCCAAGCCCGTGAAGCCCACGATGTCCGCGAAGAGGATGCTGCAAGAAAAACGCACCAGGCTGCCTCCTCCACGAGTATGCGGTCCCCAGAGCGGCCTTACGAGCACCCCAAAATAACCCTCCCTGGTTATTCCTCGGGCCGGCCTGGGAGGGAAGGGTCTGTCCTGTTTGACAAGTGGCAGCAGCAGCAGCTGGGGAAGCAGGGGAGGCCCTCGCCACCACGGGGGGCTCAGAGCTCCTGCTGACCCCCCAGGACACGGGCAGGGCACAGCTCCACAGCCACCAGACCTGCCCCCAGCCCCGGATGGCCCTCCTCAGCCCTTGCGGCCCCTGCAGGCTGACAGGTGACAGAAGGACAGCCCTGGAGCCCCGCTGCGAACCCCTGCGCCTCATGGACGGGCCACCTGGGTCCTGCAGTGGGACAGGGCCTCACCTCACGGGACGGAAGCCTGCCACGTGAGCATCCGCTTACTACGGAACGGGGCGGGTCTAAACAACGGCGCCCGCCACCCGCACAGCCTCCTCCCCGGGCGCCACAGCGTGAGGCACACGGCCACACCGAGCTGCCGTCACCGTCGTTTTTGCTGGATACCGAATTCCTGCCTGTTTCGTTCCACCCTGAACACGTCACCCCAGCCCCCACCTCCACCATCCCTGGTGAAAAATCCCACGCTGGTCTTGCTGGCCGTCACTTCTGTCCCACTCCTTTCCTAACCTCTGGCCCTCATGGTTCAACGACCACGTGGGGGGCTCCATGCGGGTCCTGACAGGGCTTCTGCAATGCGTACGTTACTGTTTTCCATGAAATTTCAGACCTTTTGAGTCCTATTTTTTCAAAGACTCTCTCTCCTCCTTTCCTCTCCTCTGAGACTCATCCTGGGGGTGCTGTCGCACCGGCCGGCGTCCCTCGAGACCCCCAGCCTCTGTTCTCTCTCCATCCATCAGGCTCCATGACCTCAGGTGGCTGTCTTCAAGTTCCCCGAGGCTTTCCACAACCTGCTCAGATCTGCTCAGTGTGGAACCCCCACCCCGACCCTCTAGTGAACTTTTTATTTTGGTCACTGTATTTTTCAAAGCTGGAATTTCTGTTTGGTTGGTTTTTTATAAGCTCTACCTTTTTATTGGTATAGTCTACTTGATGAGAAGTCTTTCTCATGCTCTCCTTTATTTAGACAGTTTGTTCTTTGAGAGTATTTCAAACAGGTGATTTAGGGGCGCCTGGGTGACTCAGGGGGTCAAGCATCTGCCTTCGACTCAGGTCATGATCCCGGGATCGTGGGATGGAGCCCTGTGCCCTGGGTCGGGCTCCCTGCTCAGCGGGGAATCTGCCTCTCTCTCTCCTTCTGCCCCTCCCGCTGCTCATGTTCTCTCTCTTTCACTCTCTCAAATAAATAAATAAAATCTTTAAAAATATATATATGTGACTTAAAGTTTTGTCTAGAAGTCTAATGTGTGGGCTCCCTCTGGGACTGCATTTTCATTCCCATGTGAGCTATACATTCATGCTTTCTTGCACACTTGCATATATTTTCACGGAAAATCAGATAATACACTGTGGCAACTCTGAAAATCAGAACCAACCCCCCCCCCCACCTCAGGACTGAAGTTGTTCTTGTTGCTATTTGTGTTGTTATTTGTTCAGTGACTTTTCTGACAAACTCTGAAAAGTCTGTTTCCTATCTCATGTGGGGCCATTAAAGTCTGTGGTTGGTTAAGCTAGTGGTCAGCTAATGACCACACAGAAATTTCCTCCCATTCCTGAAGCCAGTAAGTCTCTCAGTCTTTGATGATGGGCACTCAGCCAGGCAGATTCCAACTGTCTCAGTCTGCTCTTCCTGCTTGCACACATGCTCAAGGTCAGCCTCAAGACCTAACGACAGCCCAGGGTCATCATGGTCTTTTCTGAACATGCACGTCGCCCGACTTGTGAGTGGGATCTTCTGATTCCCAGAAACATTCCCAGAGCCTTTCAAAGCACCTGACAGACATCTCATTCCCTAGTTTTAAGATTTTAGTGCCCTGCTGCTTGCCTCAGCTGTTATCACTGCCTCTGACAGCTATGATGTTAAACACTTGCCACTGATTGTTCTTAACAAATGTCCCAGGGCAAAAGCTGTTCCAACTGAGTGTTGAGTCAGGTCAAATAAAGACAAGCCTGTGAGCAAGGTTTCCCAGGGAATTCCCAGGCAGTCAAATGATGACAGTTCTCTGAGAATTTTTCAAAGCCCTGACCCCATTCTGTCCCCTCAGGTGGCTGTCAGTGGACAGGTTTCCCCTGTAATAGCAGCTGCTGGTTTTCAACGCTATCATGGAGCTAAAGACAGTGAAACAGGGTAAGTTAGAACTCTATAAAGCTTGCTGTTTTTTACCAGGATCCAGCTGTTTTTCATAAATAAACATTCCTGGATTCTTGCAAGGCTTTGCTTAATTTCCAGTGTTCTGACAATGTTGACTCAGTTTTTGTCAGTATTGTCATTGCTTCTATGGAGTTGAGGATTTTCAGATGTCCTTACTCCACCGTTCCTGATGACATCAGCCTGTTAGTTCTGAATGGTGTACTGACTCGGGATTCTAATCCTGGATGATGGGGAACCAGAGAGGGACTCTAACGAGGATGGTGAGGAAGACAGTGAGCTGATCACATCTGGGCTCTACAAAGCCACCTTTGACCCTGTTGAAGGGTGGCCAGGGGAGCCATGGTGGAGCTGGTGCCATCAGGGACAGGGAGCCGGCCTCAGCTCCCTCTCCTATCTCAGCATCGTCACACCTGCACCTGCTGGGAATGAGGCATCCGCCGGGGGATGTGGGCGGAGATTTTTCACATCAGAGGGAAATGGTGACTTTCCACACCTGTGTCTGTTGTCCCAAGTCAGAAAAGAGGGGGGAGGCACATGGGCACCACACACCATGCTCACCTCCACCTGCTGCCCCAGGAAGTCCTTGACATCTGATGCCTTCCCTGCTGTGTGCAGACACTCCACACCCCTCCCCCTGGGCACTCCCTGGATTGTTCTGGTGATCTGGTCTCATCAGGGGGCTGGGTCACTGTGCCACCTCCTTACCCACTGAGGAGAGGCAGTGGGTGAATGGGAAGTCTATGTGGGTATCAGCATCAGCCAATCCCAGGCTGCCCCAGCCCCACCACTCACTGGCTCCACCTCCAAGTGGAGGTGACAGAGCCTGGGCTGCCTGGCCTGGAATGCTGGCCCCACACACTGGGGCCTTAACCCCATTGGGCTCAGTATCCTCCACAGGAGGACAGCACTAGTCCTCAGCAAGAGGCACAGCAGTGGGAGTGAGCATGCTCACCAGACAGCGACTAGCCACACCGGCTCGCACACAGGGATGGCTGGGGCCCTGATGAAGAGGGGCTGGCGGCAGCAGCAGTCCTTTGCTCAGCCTAGACGGACAAGCAACAGCTTGTAGAGACTCAGTCCACAGCACTCAATACAAACAGAGGGAGTTTTTATCCTGCTGTGTCTGCAAAGGCCCAGTGGCAGGTAGGCCTGACACCAACCAGGACCAGCAAAGAATATCAGGGGTGGAGGGTGCTTCCGGGCCTCAACCACCATCACCAGCCTGATTGACGCTTACATAAAGGGAAATACTCAGCTAGTCTAAGAACTTTATTTTTTTAAGATTTTATTTATTTACTCATTCATGAAAGACACAGAGAGAAAGAGAGAGAGGGGCAGAGACACAGGCAGAGGGAGAAGCAGGCTCCATGTGGAGACCCCAATGTAGGACTCGATCCCGGGACTCTGGGATCACGCCCTGAGCCATAGGCAGACGCTCAGCCTCTGAGCCACCCAGGCGTCCCTAGTCTAAGTACTTTAAAAGGGAAAATACGATGTAGTAGAATAAAATTCTTTGTGATAGGATTTGTAAAAACAAGCAAACCTCAGAGCGTGTCTGGGGCAAGCTGCTTCATCACCTGTAAAACGGGAACAATCCCTACCTCCTGGGCTGCCATGAGAGGAACGGGGGAGGAAGAGGACGCCTACCCCAGGCCCTGGCACCAAGTGGAATATTGCTCAGCTGTTATCCTGACATGGGCCAAGATCCAGCTGAAATGCCACCACCCAAACCAGTTCAGAGACAGAGTGCCAACCCTCCCCAGCCCACGCAGGACATGGGAGGTGAGGAACAGCGGGAAAGAGCAGCTGTGACACCTATCACCCAAGAGGTCAACACCCCTCCTCCATGGGACCTGCTTCCCGGCCAGCAGGTGCTCACCTGGGCCTCCTGACGCACACCCGCTCCCTCCTCCCCTCACATCGAGGCCTTCCACCCCCATCTGCCCAAGGCCTCCCACCTCTGCCACTACCTGCGCCTCACACTTAATCCTCACCTCCTGCATCACCTCCACCTCCACCACCGCCTCCCATTTCCATCACCGTCACTTCCATTATCTCTCACCCTTACGCTCACCACCTCCTCCGCAACCTCCCACATCACACCCCCCCCCCCCCGTCTCAATCACCTCCTTGCCAACCCCCACAGCCCCCATATCCATCACCTTCACTTCCATCACTTCCCACAATCGCCCTCACTATCTCCATTATGCCCAACCCGGAAATCACCTCCACCACATCAACATCCACCTCCTCCTCCTCCCTCCTCCTTCTCTTCCACCTCTTCCCCCTCCTCCTCCCCCTCCTTCTCCACCTCCACTCCTCCCCCTCCTCCTCCATCTGTACTGCCTCCCCTCCACTCCTCCACCTCTTCCACCTCCTTCTCTACCTCCTCCTCCTTCTCTTCCACCTCTTCCCCTCCTCCTCCATCATTTCCACCACTTCCCCCTCCTCCCCCTCCTCCACCGCCTCCACCGCCTCCATCTCCACCTCCATCATCTTCATCTGAGCGCCCCAAGGCCCAGCACCTGGGCCGCATCAGCCCTACCTCACATTGTCATGCCGCTGGATGTAAATCTTGTGGAAAATCCTTTCGGGGGGCTTCAGGAAGTCCTCCTTCATCTCCATGGCAACATTCCGGGGCAGAAGGCTCATAAGTAGCCGTTCCTGGACAGGAGAGACAGGTCTGTGTGACGCAGCAGGATTCCCCTGCGAGTCCTCGATCACCCCCACCGAGGTGGTGCTGAGGAGCTGCCCTGCACAAGGGGCTGCAGACCCTCCTCACAGGCAGCAGGCGGCCTGGTGCTATAGACCCTGCCTGGCCCCTGGGCCCCTGCAGCCTGTGCCCAGGCCTGGAGTGACATTACACAGGAAACTCGCTCCCGGAGCACTGGCAAGGAGCCTGCATCACCTCCACGGCAACCTTCACCCACCGTCCACCCACCCGCGTGCCCCCGCTTCACCGAGCAGAGGTCACAGGGAGGAAACGCCACCGGCCCCAACCAGGATGGCCAGGCCTCACTCCACATCCCACTGCCCAACACGGCCCCGAGAGGGACCTCCAGATGAGCCGTAAAACCCGCCCCCCTGGACAGACGGGAGTCCCGTGACCTCACAGAGATTGGTACACAGCGTCGCATTTCCCCCCGGTCCTATCTTCCGATTTCTTCCTTCTCTCTGGGGGTCAGATGTTTTCTTCCCTCTCAGAGAATGGAATAAACATCTAGGCTTTTCCAGAGGTGCCCTGCCGCACAGGAGACTCCATCCCTCTCCCGGGGACTCAGTTTCCCCACCTGCTTCATTCTGCCTCTCCGCCTCCCAGGGATCCTCACCCGCCCCCAAGCCCCCTGGCCCGTCACCACAGCTGGCCACACCTGCATCTGAGGCCCCCCCCTCAGGGCCTCTCGCTCCCCTTCCCAGCCTGCTTCGGGAAGCAAAGAGATCACATTGAAATCCCAGTAGACTGAGGAAGGAAGCCTGCTCGGAAGAGCAAACCCGGCAGAGACTGGGCAAGAGAAGCCGCTCCCTCACTCCATCCCTCCAGCCCCAGGCTCTGCTCCGGGACCCCTGCCCTGAGCTGCAGCCTGTCCCATCAACGCAGCAGCTCTAGTGAAGCCCCCGACCCCCGGCATCCCCCAGCCCACAGCAGGCATCGGGTGACCTCCTGGACCACAGCCCCATTCCGTGAGGCCACGTCCCACGTGATGACCTCAGGAGGACGATGAGAGCGGCACAGTGACAAGAGTCCCCCAGAGCCCAGGGGGCCTCTGGGCGATGGCCTCGGAGGCCTGGGGCAGGGGTGTGAGGGCTTCACCCGTCTGCTCTGGATTCCACAGAGCACGTCACAGGCCTAACACATGGAGCCCACACCCCTCAGGAGCCTCCCCAGGTCATGCGTCTCCACGTAAACCGCAGAGGGGAAGGCCAGCCAAGCGCCGCTAGATGCTGCGTGGAGCCAAGCAGACAGACGAGGCCAACCTGAGTAACGGACCATGTGTCCCGAGCAAGGCCTGGCTCTGCCCTGAGACCCACGCCCACGGCGGCCAAATGGACAGACTGCAATGCCGCGGCAGGACTTCACGCTACTGCCATGGCCTGTGACCACTCTCAGCACTGGGACCCCTGGGAGAGAGGCTCTGAGTGCTGGCGAGCACACGGCCACCATGCATGGACACGTCCAGGCTGACATGTGAGGGGCAGCCCCAGCGCACGGGGTGTGGGAGCGGCTGTGTGACTGGTGCCTGGCCAGCAGACGCCGACCCCTTCCGTGGCCGGGGGGCCTCTGGGGCGAGACTGAGACACAGGCAGAGGGTGCCAGACTGTGTGGGCGGTGGTGGAGGGAGCTTGGGCAGGGCCTCACCCAGGCCACCTCACGGACAGGCCAAGGGCAGCATCAGCAACACGAACACACCTGGAAGCTGCTGGAAATGGCCCCTGGGCCTCGAGGCACGAGGCCAGGACACTACCGAATGGTGCCCCAGAACACACCTGGGGCTTCACGCTCTCCTGGGAAGACCCAGCGTCACGGGGCCCCACGATCCTGGGCCGCCTGGGCTGCCGAGCTGCGGTTAGGGGCTCGGGGGTGGCTCCTGCACCAGCGTGCCCCGTAGGGAGGGTCCCTGGAGAAGTGCACGGTGGCCTGGCCTTGCATCGCACCTCTGCCCTGTCTGAATTCCATCACACCAGACAGGGAGACAGGTGCACAGCCTCCTCAGCAGGTGCTCTGTGAGGGGGTCATTGCCCCCCAGACCCTGCTCCCCCTTTGCCTGCCACACCTCCAATTCCCACTGCTCAGGGCTCAGGTCTTAAATCCCTCACCTGCACCTACAAATACGCTACATCAGATCAAACAAGGGAGGCTGCCCCCCACACCCGCCGGGCCCAGCACACCCTCCTCCCCGTTCAGTATTCTCCTAATGCCCTGGAACCCCTCCCTCTCCAAGGACCCCAGCTGAGGGCACACCGCCAGGACCTGGTCTCTCCATCCCATCAGCTGCCCTGCACCGTGGAGTTAGGACAGGGAAACTGAGTCAGCCACAGACCACAGGAGAGCACCACGCTGGGAATGCTGGGCAGTGGCATCTGGTGCTGGAAGTGAGGCCAGGGCAGAGCTGGCCGCTGTTCCCACATCCCTTCATCACCACTAGCACAACCGTCTAGCCCCTTACTTTCATCTGGGGCTCAGAGACCTAAGATAAACACCCCGTTATCCAGCCTGCTCTTGCAGCTAGATGTGGCCCAGGAGACAGGGGGTGAAAGGTCATGTGAGAGCGTCCGGAATGGCTCTTAAAGACGGCCTGTTCTTCCTTTTGACCCTCTGTTGCTGGGGACATGGTCTTGATGTCCAGTCCTCTACCTACCATCTCGATTCACGAGGACGAGGGCCACACACCAGCAGTGGCAGACCAGTGAAGAGATGGGGACTGGCCTGGAAGGGCTGCATGGATCAGCCCTGCCACCTCAGCCATAAGGAGGCCCCCTGGAACCCGCACACGAGGGGGAAAGAGTGCTCACATTTGCATAAGCCACTGTCACATGAAATTCCTAAGGACAGGCTGTGGCTGTCCTTCTGACCAGGGGCTCAGCATCAGCTGCACCCACGAGATTAGGGATGGTACGGAAAGCCGACACACATAACCAAGAGTAAAAGCACACAACTTCCCCATAGGGTGCAAAGCGCCATCTGGCAAGATCAAGCACCCATCCCCGATTAAAAACAGCAAAACCTGGAACAAAGTAGTTTTCTGACATCATAAAGATATTACCTGCAATCCACGTCCAATCTCAGACCCAGCCCGAAAGCCCCAGGCAGCAGTAAACACTGCATCAGGAGCCGACAAGCCTGATGTGTTCTGACCAGCAAAATGAAACACAAAGCCAGAAATCCAAAGGACGAACTCATGAACGTGGATCCTACAAAGTCTCCCAGCGTCCCACAAACACCAAAACATGACTTAAGATAAATGTATTAGGGACGCCAGGGTGGCTCAGTGGTTGAGCATCTGCCTTCCACCCGGGGTGTGACCCTGGGGTCCTGGGATCGAGTCCTGCATCGGGCAGGCTCCCTGCAGGGAGTCTGCTTCTCCCTGTGTCTCTGTCTCTGCCTCCCTCTGTGTCTCTCATGAATAAATACATAAATAAAATCTCCAAAAGAAAAAAAAGAAAATCACGCAGCACACGAGAAGCAGAACAATCTCAACAAATGAATAAAGACAATCAATAGACAGCAACAGCACGATTAACAGAATAATCACCACACCTAACGAGATTTTAAAGCAGCTATTGTAAGAATCATTCGATAAACAGCCACAAACACACCTGAAAAAAATGAAAGAAGAAAAAGGAACGCCAGCAAAGAGATAAAAGGTACAAAAGAGACTCAAATACAAATGTTGGAGCTGAAAAAAAAATAATAATGAAATAAAAAGCTCGACAGGTGGCAGAGAACAGAGGAGAGCCTAGTGACCTTGCAGGCGGAATGACAGAGATTGCCCACACGGTTCGAATTATCGCAGATTTCTCATCGGGGATCGTGGAGGCCATGAGACGGTGGCCGGCTTCTCGAGTGCAAGAGAAAAGAACTGTCTACCCAGAGCCCTTCGGGAACGAAAGAAATCAAGAGGGAAAAGTAGGAGGCCTTGTCACCAACGGACCGGCCCCAAGAGAAAGACCTGTAACCAGAAAGAAAAGGAGAAAAAAAAGGAAGCATCTGGGCATAGGGGAGGAAGAAATGACATAACATAAGCAAAAACATCCATGAATAAAACTGACTTCCCTTCTCCGCTACGTGCTGGTGGACGCAAGCCGGACAGCACTGCCTGGTGTGGCTCAAATGTATGCAGAAGAAATATTCAAGACCGTGTTGTCGCGGGTGAGGCTGAAGGCCGCGGAGGTGGGGTTTCTGCACTTCGCCCTATCCGGTAACATGTCGACAACAGCAGAATGTGACATTACGTGTCTTTAGTATAAAACCTCAAGCAGCACTGAGAAAGATACGCACTCAGGGGCACAGCGATACATCAAAGCTGAATTCTAAAAATGCGTTCGGGGATCCCTGGGTGGCGCAGCGGTTTGGCGCCTGCCTTTGGCCCAGGGCGTGATCCTGGAGACCCGGGATCGAATCCCACATCGGGTTCCCTGCATGGAGCCTGCTTCTCCCTCTGCCTGTGTCTCTGCCTCTCTCTCTCTCTCACTGTGTGCCTATCATAAATAAATAAAATAAAATAAAATTTAAAAACGCATTTGACTAACACAGAGGAAAGCCGGAAAAAGAAACAAAACATAAAATGACAGGTTGATGCTCTGACATAATAATTACATGAAAGACAAGTGTTCTAAACATACAAAAGAGAGACATCGGCAGAGTGATTTTTAACAAGTATGACCCAGGGACGCCCGGGTGGCTCAGCGGTTGAGCATCTGCCTTTGGCTCAGGGCGTGATCCCAGGGTCCTGGGATCGAGTCTCACATCAGGCTCCCCATGGGGAGCCTGCTTCTCCCTCTGCCTGTGTCTCTGCATCTGTGTGTGTGTGTGTGTCTCTCATGAAAAAGTAAACTCTTTTTAAAAAAAAATTTTAAGAAGAAAAATAAATGATAGAAAATCTGGACAAAGATTAGCAATGATACAGAGCACTCGAGAAGACCATCAGCCAACAGTATGTCAACAA